CCTCCCTGCTTAGTACTATTTTAAATGTTTAGACATTATAAAAGATAAATTTTAAACTAAGATGTTTCTATATATTTTTTACTTTAGACATCTCATAAATATTGATGAAACCAAAAATTATAAATTTCATCAATGTTATGATAGATAGTGGTCATAAATTGTGTAAATACTCTTATATATAAATGAATTATGAGATATTGAAGTTTAGTACAAGGGCATACAAGACAGAGTCAAGTACTTCAGTTTGGTAGGCTACTAATCAGTTGCATTCTTAGCCCAGACTTAAATACCTTATATAAATAGAACCATACTACCTTGTAGGATTCAGGCATGTTAATCCATCACAAGGTTGCAAGGGTATGGAAATACATTGGGTAAAGGAAAAACATGATTTAGTTGTACAAGGGTCAATGTTTGAATAATCCATAAACATAGAGACCAAATCTACCATTGGAAATGAAGCAAGTAGACTAAAGGGCATATACCAGGTCGTTCAACAAGTTCATGCAAAAGCATTCTAATTTTTTTTATATTTCAATGTTTTTCCTTGTTCACAAATCATAGAAAAAAATTACCTCCTTTGGCACATGTGCTTACAAATTTATTCTTAAACATCTTAAAAATTAGGAATGATTGGGGAATCCATTTTTCTGTCAACAAAGCAAGCCACGAGAAGGTAAAATAATCAACAACAGCATTTTGAATAAATAATTTCTCACACAGGGTGACACAAAAATTCTACCCTCCATCAATTATGGATGTTTTTCTTAGTGGGTTGCATTTTTGTGTCACTCTGTACTAAACATTTGTATTTTAAACAACAACAAAATGTTTGGCCATCCTAATAATTGACATTGTAAATACTCTTTTAGATAAGGATATAGTACATTAAAGATCACTGAGGGCAAATAACATCATCATTTTTAAACAACTGAACTTTTAGATAAGAATTGAAGGCAAATATTGACCAACAATATCATTAAAGTAAAACAACTTCACACATCCTCTACCCTGAAATTCAGAGAGTAAGTCCTACTCTCTGACTATGACAGATAATTGTCGTCTAGTAGGTGCTGATATGATCTTAATAACCCTAAAGCTGCCATGGCCATTCATGGGAGTTCAAAAATAAAATAAATGCCAGCTGCTTATGACAGCATAAAATGTTGTGACTGCAATTCTGATTGGACGGCTGAATTTTGATTGGGCTAATCTGATTGGGTAAGGCTATATCAAAGGATTATCTCTTATTCAAAGAGTATAGATGAAGCTGTCTTTTAAAGATGCAAAATAGAACAACCTTTTTTTCAGAGAAAAAATATGCTAAAGCAATTACAATACAGTTACATAGAACACTTAGATTTAATCTCTTACACTTTACATACTGTTTTGATTACACTTCAGTTTTTAAGAATTGTATACCTTTGGCGTCTATTATGGGAAAATCATAAGTATTATTTGTTAATTTAATTTCCATGATTTTCTCCTTTGAAGGTGGTCATCTTTTCAAATGTAAAACAGATTAAAGCTGGAGTGTATACATCTAGGAATATAAAATTAACATGTAGTGAAAACTCAAATTCATTAAAATTACTAGGGGAGTTCATTGAACTTTTGGACATGGGTAGTCACTATTTGATATCAGCTCACTATCATTTATAAAGAATATAACCCGATTTCTAAATATAAATAAGTATAAAGTATTAAGTATAAATCATTTGTAGTTTATTACCTGGTGTTGTCTAGGTTAATGACCACACCCATTAAAACTGTTTTAGAACACATTTAGAAAGGAATAGTGATATAAAAATATCTCAATCCATTGTGAAGCTCAACCCCATAAAACAGAAGATGAAGTAGATTAGAGAGGAGAGTCTAGAGCTAGTCTTGTAGTCTGATGAGAGAACATTTGGTACAGTAGGTATGGGTGAAAACTGAAAATCATGGAGAAGGAAAAAAGCCACAAAAATGCAACCATCTGGGATAAAAGAACCCACCCCTTAGCAGCAAGGGAAAATATACACAAACTTGGAAAAGTACTCGGTTATCTAATCTGCAAGACCATACCTATGAGAAGTAGTTAGCAGAGGAGGTGTCAGAACCCCATGTGTTTTGTGCACCCAGAATCTATAATATGTCCTTTGATAGCACAAATCCATGACCAGGAACCTCTGGGAAGTGACCTCCTCTGCGGGGTTCTCTATCAGTGGCAGGCATGTAACGGGAGCGGGGTTCAAGAACAGTGACAGGAAAGGACAGATTTGTAGGTTCAGCGTGTTCTGATGCACCTTCCTGAATAATACATATAGCAATGTTAGAGTTACACTCAAAAATTGGTCATAAAGTAAGAAGAGATATAATACTATTGAATATGAAAGAGTAATGACAAAAATGACAACAAAATGTCTTAAGGTTGGCAGAGTGAGGTAATACTGAAGGAATATGATGGATGAATGAAGTAACGTAAAAATAACATACATATGCATATGATACAGAATCAATTTTTTGTAATTGGGAATCAATCTCAGATGATGGATTGTTACTGAATGTAACCTGATAAACAGTAACCACAGAAAAACTTGACTGGAACATGTATGGATCTTAATTGTTAAAAAATGACCAAAAGGCCCAGCGACATGGAGCAATCATATAAAATGGGAGCAAAACACACACAAGTCGTCAAATTGAGCCAAACAGTTAAAAGCACAATCCAACCATGGAAACACAACCTGTTGCGATTGTTGGCCATTTATCTCAGTGAAACTATCTCACTATACTACCTAAATTAACTCTAATGCCTATATTGCATGCTAATCACATACGAACCTAGAATGTATACCTGTAATTGATATATCATATGACACAGAAATCAAGGATATAATCCAGGACCCGATGATGACACCAATATATGTGCCTAGTTCAGAATAGAGTACTGCACAATTAGAGACTTTTTACCTCTCGATTCTTGATATGATATCAATATCATTTGTAAGGGCAATTTGAAGTTTATCTATAACATATAATTTTAGTTGTCATTTATGTGTAACTTAGTGCAGTTAAGTGTCAATATGGGACTTAAAAAGGGACCTACAAAGTAACAAAGGAAACGAAAGGGACTTCAATGTCAAGAATGATGAGATCATTGAAGGAGTTTTACATATGAAAAATAAGTTTGAGATTATCTTTATCGCAAAACCTCGACTGAGCCCTCTATCTGTTGCATCTACATACAGATTTCAAGTTTTATTGGAGACTTATCTTTCTAAATTATGGAGTTATGTCAATTATGACCGTGGAAGTGCCTTTCTCTCCTCACAATTCACCTTTCGCAGAAACAACTTGAGTATTGTTACTGGAAATAACTCTATTGATATTTATAATCATAGCCCTCTAAACAACAAAGATGATTTAGGGCACATAAATGGATTATAAAACCAATCAGAGGATTTATTGATAAGCAATATGATCAGTTTATTCCAAAGTTCAAAACAACAACTGATGAAAATAATATTATCTTTAGACTAAAGTGAAACATCTCATATGTGAAACAGATACAAGGAGTATCAATACCAAGGATTACATATCATATTTTATAGTAGCTTAAGCAAAAAGCCAAAAGAAAATGCCAATCTGATGATCGCCATATGCAATCAATTAAAGAATAGATTGAACAAATACAAACCAAATATACAAACAAATCTAGTAGTTTGAGAAGAATTGCAAATAAAACTTAAAATCTAAAATGAATTGATTAAATAAAGGTGAAACTGAGCTTAAAAAGTAAATCATGAATTAATAGGATCTGTCTCAAGAAAACACAACGGATGTAAAGATCAACATTTGTCTGTCTTTATATAAAGCATAAACCAACGAGGTCATTGGAATACTATACAGTAAGCTATGATATAAAGATAGCAAAAATGAATGCTTCAAGTGTAATTTAGAACTACAATGTGAAGAAGGAAACCTATAAACAAACTTAAGATTTATATGGTATATCAAAACACAATAAAAATTTGGAGTATGTGTGACATTACCATCAAAAGACGGAAGAAAATAGGGGGTAAACATTTACTTTAATTTTTATTTCTCTAAATTCAACATTGTTATAGTTTCGAGATGATAAAAATCATAAACTAGTGTTCTATTAACATCTTTAGATTTGTCACTAGACTACACACAATTCCATTTTTTCATGATGAGAGTTTTGCATGTTCAAAGATGATACCTGAGTTAACAAAACAGAGAGAGAGCGAGTACTTTAGTATCAAAAAAGTTTGCTGCCAAATCTTCAAATTGAGCTTTCTATTTGTCAACATGTTGATCAGCTCAATCATCCTTGTATATTTCACTTGGTTCAAAGGTTCAACATTTTCATAATTTATGGCATCTTTTGAGCAGTCCTTATCAAGTTAATTAACACCATTGACTTATTCATCATCAATAAAGGCTTGTCCCACAGGTGTTTCTAACTGGATTATTATATCATTATATCTTTTCTACCTTGCTGCTCTTCATACTGTGTTTTCTGTTCATCGTGAAGTCTTTTCTGGTATGGTTCAATTCCATTTTGTCATTTATTATGTCATAATTTAAACTCCCATAGCAATAACAATGTTTTGCTGCATTCGTTTACAAATGTACAGAAATTGCCCAACAGTTTACACAAGATAAAACATAATACCACATTCTGGGTCTGAGTCTGAGTTTTTCCTCTTACAAAGGAAAGTTGGTTCATGTTGTTGCAATAATAGTGTGGTACAAACACTGGGATATAGTGGCAATGTCAACGAACTAACTGGAAAAGAGTAACAATTGTCACAGATGCTCAGAATTCCTACCACAAAAAATGTGACTATAACAATATGTCACCCATATCTAGGTTGTGGCATAAAAATATGTATATTACAAACATTAAACCATTCTGAATATAAAAATGTTATAAAAGCCAATAAGCCCATTGAAAAAGCCTAATAATGTTGTATTCTATATATTTGCAGGCAGGAAGAGGTTCACCTCAGAGAACTTGTATGGAGAACCAGTAGAATTTGGGACATCCTATGTAAAACCTGGCATCAGGAAACAACGTAAGTTTACATAGATTAAAAATCAATGTTTCTTTAATGGTCCTGTATTTTACTTAATTTATTGTTTGATATATTGATAGAGGATGTGTATTCCTTAGATTTGTGATAACCTTTACATATCACATCCTCCAAATGCAGGGCTCCAGATATCATCCACTATGTTCCTTCCTTCTTCCAAGAAGAAGGAGGTATGAAGGAGGCCTCATGTTTGGAGGATGCACATTCAATCATTCATTGTCTTTATTTGTTTCATCATGTTCATTATTTTAGTTTGTTTTCTCCTTACTAATGGGCTTCTACAACTTGCATGTATAAGCATATTCAAAGCAACATTTTTATCATTTTATCAACAAGTTTATCATTGCCTAACTATACTAATGTCACCTTAGCTTTTCTATGTTTGTTAGAGCTTAATTGTAAATAACAGAAATAGTCCAGACAGAAATAGAATGTTTCTAAATGATTTTCCTCACAGAAGTGTTGTTTTACATAGGTATACTGGCTTGCGTTTATAAGCACTCCATTCATTACAACCCTGGCAAAGCTTGCTTTTATAGTCCAAAAGTAAATAGACAGGATATAATCTAAGATTGGCAGGTACAAATCTTTTCTCAGACATTGTCCTACTAAACAAACAACAACTGCCATAACTCCAGGAACAATAAAACAATGAACAACGTTTTTAAACTAAATAACAGTTTAAAATTGTTTATTCATGTGGATGATTCAAAAATGCTATAAGTTTGTGTCATCATAGACTTATCTTTCCTTTATGTTGCAAATATTGAAGCATTCTATTGTGCCAGTATAACAAAAATAGGATTATATAAATTTTGTTCAAAGTTCAGTTTATGTTTTCAAATCCCCAAGAAAATTAAATACACAAGTTGATATAAATGCACTATACTAATTTGTCTTTGAAATGGTTCCCAATCCTACATATCCCAGAGAATGATATCAAACACATGTCAGAACACATAACTAATGAAATAGAAAAGTATTTAAAAGATTCTATAACAGAGACTGATACAGAACTCTGGAAACAGTCCAAACAATGTTTCAATCCAAAATAAATAAGATGACATCTTAACCCAATATATAAACAGTCAGCTAAACTGTTAAAACATCTTAAGCTGAATTACACTTTGACAATTGCTCCAAAAAGAATTGTTCCTGAAATGGAGACTGAACTAGAAAATATACTGGCAGTTATTAAACAAAGTCTGTTCAAAAATATGGTACTGGCAGACAGAGGAGAAGCTGGACAAGGTGTAGATAATATACATCACAAGACTTGGGCAATGAATCTACTGGAACCAATGATATGAGATATTCTTCCAAAAGATTACCCAAAATCTAAGAAGATCTCATGTACCTAATATATATGAAGAGAAAAAGAAGAAGAGAAGATCTACTGAACAATAACCGAGTGAATAGAACTCATCCAAAACAAATCTCTGAGAAACACAAAATAGAATTCATCATAATGGATATCACTGGAGCGGTTGTAAAAAGCAGGAACATGAAAATAACCATTGATGAAAATGACACAATGGAGGAAAACACTGAATGTAGGAAAGATATAATATGCAGGCCAGTTGTCTCAAGGATTTACCAACCTGGTTATCATGGAAAGCGAATTTCACAAACCTATGTCCAAAGCATGAATAACTTAAAAATGTACTTAAAAGAAATAAAACAACTTGATATGTATGTTGAAAACAATATGAAAATAAATGATAAACCAGATGAAGTCGTTTTCCTTCTGCCAGTCCAAGTCCAGAAATATGATATTAAATACCACAAAAAACTCATAACCAAAACATGGATAAAGTATCAGAATGATTTAAAGAGAAGGCATAATGAATTAGAAGCAACAATAATTACTACAGCTATGTTCACTCATTGCGATAGAATAGCCAAAAACAAACATGTCATAAATGAAAAGGTCACTGATATGAATGGAATGAAACACATACATAGTATAAATGAAAAGGAGTTGAACATATGTGAGATGAAACATAAAGGTATTAAAAGGACTTCAGATGGTGGTGAGTGGTGGTTCAACCTTTAACAAGATTGACTAATTTGGGAATGAGTTGAATTGGCATAAAATATGGTTATATTCAATCATGGTTGATACTTTAATTATATCATCAAATGCCAATTCACCTATCCATTTAAGAAATTGACATCCACAATTCATGATTGAATTTCTCTTTACAGCGCAACTACCCAAACATGACCTAACCAAGCTAGGTAAGGGTAGTGATGCGGACATGCAGTATGGGAGCCCAACCACACAGTATGGTAGTCCAAGAAGCTATGCAGGTGACACTCCACAAATCCCAGTACAATCTAGGACATTCACTAAAGACTTGGATACATACCGAAAAGCAAGGTAAGCATTCCATCACATAACATAACAGTATACACTACCAGTATGTTAGAACTGGTAATGGGAAAAAGTACTATCAAAAATGTCATGGGCAGTATCCATACACCAATTATATGATTGAGCTCCATGAGTACCATGGGTATATTCACACTTATATGTCTGTAGTACAAATGCCCAAATTACATAGAAATCTGCTTCAGCTAGCAATTTAATCGGGACGTGGATATTGCTCAAAGAGAGTGCAAATATGAACTCATATGATAACAATTTAAAAGTACAAATATAATTCTAGAGTGTTTTATCGAAAGAAATTCCACTGATCAACAAACAACTCAATATGATGCGCCATCAGAAACATCATTATCAAAGAATTCTCATTTAACTGTCAATTCTCCCAATTAAGAAAGACTTAAAGGTCATAATTATGCATTTAGGGCCTCTTGAGTCTTGACATAACAGCAAGTTATTGTACATCTTCAGCAACATAACTTTTCTCTGAGTAAGGTATAGGGCTGTATCAGGTCAGCTTGACTCTATTGCTATCTCCTTTTGGTATCTTTCTTGCCACTTACTCTGGTTGTACAGTTAAGCGAAATCAGCTTCATATCTTCAAATCCTTCTAGATTCAGTTCAAATAGATTTACCAGCCCAATGGTTCCACACCTGGTATTTAAAGCATGTTAGTTGGATATACCAGTGCTTTGAGTTAACATCGCTTGGATGATCAGTAAATATTCATAAGACATCAAACCATTTATAAGTATATATAAAACAAGTATGGACATGTCATATCACTGACTAACTGCTGGTATGTAAGCTGTGATTTAATTGGAAAAGCAAATGATGATGGATTTTCTTTGACCAATATGTGGATGAAGCATTTGGTATGTGGTATCAAAGCAACATAAAAAAAGTGATAAATGGCATAAAAACAATATAATACATCAGGAATGTAATAAAATGTTTAAAAATTTGTTTTTTGATTACAGATACATAGGTGACCGTAGCGACAGCATATCTAGTCAGGACTCGTATGTCAGCTATAACTCCCACCAGGGGTCTGAAGCAGCGGGTCCATCATCTGATAGGTCAGGGACCTTAACACCAAATGGTGTTAATGACAATGGTAGCTACCATCAACAGCAAATGCAACGAGGATCTGGTCACTATTTAGAACACAGATCTGATTCTTTAAAAGAAAATGAACCATCTGGTAAAAAGTACAGGAGAACACAAAGTGATGTGTATGATTTACAAAATGCTGAAAGAAAAAGACTGAACAAATCAAAAGAGGAAAGCTTAATGTCATCTGGGACATCTGTATCATCAGGAGCGGCTGTCAGGAGGTCCCAGTTTGCTCGCCAGGGGGCTGTTGTCAAGGAAACCATGCCGCATGTTGACGAGGCAGATATGATTGATGAATCGGGGTCATCTACACCTCGGGGTAGCATTTCGGACCAACCTATTGAGGTTCCACTATCAGTTGGTGCATCAGGTAGTCAAGATCATGACCCTATACCTAACAATCCTGCACGCAGGGAGTACCAGTCCACTACCAGTGATAGTGACTCCAATATACCCCCTCATCAGCTTATTGCACGGTTAAAGCAGTTGAAAAAGGACAAGAAAAGTCATGAAGTGTTAAGAGGTTTATGTCATTTACGTAATAAATGGGGACTTAAATCAAATGAGAATGCCCCAAATATGCATAAATCCCTCCCAGAAACCTCAACTAATAGCTCTGATATAGATGTGAATGGTAACATGTCACAGGATGCCCAAACTAATGTTCCACAAGCCCAAACCTCCCAATCAAAACCACAATCTAGTCAACCCCAGGCAATAACCCCTAAAAGATCTGAACCAGGACAAAGAACAGCTGATGAACCAGTAAGTAAGGAGAAACAGGTGCTGGATGACTCACATCGTAGACCTAATCATCCAACGAGAACTAGTCGACCAAGTTCCTCTGATTTTTCCTCAAGCTCTACTGAGTCACTTCACAAAGGTACAACTCAGGCAGCCTTGCCATATTTTGACAGTAGAACAGGAAAACTAGTCAAGACGACGAGTCCTTCCCCAAGTAAAGATAAAGATCAAGGATTATTAAATCAATTTGGACGCAGAAGTTTCTCTGGAAAAACATCACGCAGTAAGTTGTTGCTATGGTAACCATAGGTTTAAATATGGATTATCCATTCTACACATGTTTACAATAAGTATATCAGAATTTGTAAACCAAAACATCATTTCTCTGATATTCAATTTTAAGAGCAACCAAAAATAAAAGTAATCTACGTTACAAATATAAAAGAGGAAATTTCATCCCAATATTAATGCTTTTTCAATGTTAAATTAATTTTCACCTTTTATGCCTGTATTACATTTAACTAAACATAAAATGTTTATTAAATGTTGCGCTATTTTCAACCTTTGTGTTTTACTCCATTTATCTGTCATATAAATGTTTCATTAATTCTCCACAATTGCAACTACCATGTATCCCTGCTTTTTCATTGATTCCATAACACGTTTATTTACACCATACATTTTTATTTAGTTTAAGTTTATTCAAGCGCATATACAGTACAAGTACTGAATAAGAATCAAATACATGACTGTAACAGTTTGACAGAGTGATAAAATGAGGAATCAGGCATATTTGATAGTTCAAATTTGAACTAATGTGATAAACAATGGATGTTTCAGGTCAAGACCAAAGAGGATCAAGAGGAAGATGGTCAGGCTCAGACCCTAACATAGCAACAGCTAGTCGCCCACAACATCAACAACAACAACAATATCATCATATAGCATCATCCAGCAGTGATGTCAGTGGCAGTGAAAGGTCATTAAGTGATATAAAAGAATCTGAACCTTTACAAACCACTCCAAGGCCATCATCAAGGAGGCCGTTTACTTCCCATGATGCTCTACCTGCAGCAGATGTAGCTTCCCAGGCACCTAAAAGGGAGGTTGTAGGAGCTAGAGGTCCATCCGCTCAAACTTGGAGAGGAGCACAACCAAGAGCACAAACGGAAAATAAACCAAGAGATTCAAACACGGATATAAAAGACAACACGTCCGATTTGGATAACAGGTTAAGAGAACGAGACAAGATTGATTCTAGTGTTACGATGCAGACTGTAGGGGTTGCTCAGCCTGCATTCGGGCAGCCCAATGTACAGGTGTCTAAACCTAAGGTATTGGGGTATGACCCCCATGGAGTAGAGCTGCCACCTCCGGGACAGGGGCAGTACTACAGAAGGAGAGAGGACAGGAGGTTGAGACACAGAGACAGCAGTGGCTCGCTGTCTAGTACTGATGGGGGTGGGCAATCGGTAAGTACAATGCATGTATATGTACAATGGCAACATTGTAAGATTTCACCAAGAAGAATGCATAAGACAGACATATTTTATTTCGTATATACTATTATAATACTCAGTTTTCATATGAATAAAAATGATAAAAGGTTTTCCTGCATATATTGTCCTTACAAATAGACTCAACCTATTTAATAATATCATGGCATTTCACCCTTTATAAGGACGGGATCACCATTCATGCCTTGAGTATCACAGACATAATCACTTCTCGGTTCTGTGTATGCTCCAAATTCTATATTGATGTCAGAGGGAAGTTATTACAACTTGGCTATGGGCCTTAGGGGAGCTGTAGTATAAATGCGAATTTTCTGTCTCAGGCTGAAGGTAGCGGACACATCGCCAAGAATCAGATGTTTCCAAACTACACAGACTACACCCCCAGGAAGCCTCCTATCTCCCCACGGTCTCCAAGGTCACATCATAGCAGCAAGACCAGGTAGGTGTAACATCAGATTTTACATCAATAAATCATCCTAGTACAGGTTGTTATGCCCTATCTGGGTCTGCCATTGGGCGAAGCTCCTCATTAATCTTAGGTTATCCAAGTTCCTATCTACATGCTCTAGGATTTGCTTCGGTGATATCAAGGGCAGTAATCATGTCTCTGTAGATAATCTGCAAAACGCTAATAAGCCCATATGAGGCAGAAATATAGTTTAACATTAAATGCATAATACACCTTTTCAAGGGTGGTGCATACTTAGATAAATCATGCATATGATTTTTTCTATAAAAATATTTAATATAGCATTCTTATATGGATTTGCAAGTACCATTTATGAATTAAAAATACCTCTGTTGAACATACTGTATACAGGGTATACTGTACATACAAGAATTATTAAAGCAATGAAAGTATGACTTTGGAAAACTAAAATGTTTATTAAGGTGAACAGGGTGAATGACATTTGATGATGCTAAAGTATTACCTTTTGGCAATTCTGGTCTAATTCTGAAAATGTGAAATAAGTACTTACAAAAATAGGCCATATTTGTCTCCATGATCTGGGATTGCATTGGCACAAATGGTGTTGAACAGTATAATTTATACTTCGATCATTAGGGATAAGTACAAACCAATGTTCAAACATCCAGGAAGAATTATTACGGCACGTAACTTATTACATGAGTTTTGTGTTTGTAAAGGATCAATTTTGGCCCACGCAGAATATAGGAAACCACAAAACATCTTTGATAAGAATATCTTGGCATTTATCAAAATTAATGTGGAGAGAAAAGCACTTCTCAGGAATCAGGTGCTCTTTGATGTGGATTATATTAGTTTTGGTAGGATTACTCATTCTTATAAATCCCATCACCAAAACCAATCTCTTGTGGCTAATTTTTCAGATGATTCAGCACTGCGGATGGCAATTAAATCAAAATGAGGGGTTAATTTGACAAAAAAGATTCTTTGAAATAAGGACGGACGCCTGGTCGATTCCTTAGGCTCACTGTGTGAGCCAAAAATAAAGTATATTATTCTGAAATAAATAATTCTCCAGTTGCCTATCATAACTTTGGCCAAAATGATTGAAAGTCATGTAATATTAGAAGAAATCTGGATATGTAATTTATATACTGTACAATAATATATGACTAATACTGACAACAAATGGCATATAAAAGTATAATGTCAAGCAACAAAAAAAGTACTACTATTAAGAAGAAGTTTACAAGGGTATATAGTGTATAAGAGTCTCATATACAGTACATGATGAAACATCATACAGAAAATGCAAACTGAATTAGCCAATCTGCAGATATGAACATGAGAAATCATTGCATTTGCATGGAGAATGCCTTGAACAGTAATTAACCTGACCATTTCATGATCAAAATAAACACCGATTGAAACTTCAGCCAAGACAAACAATTCCCAAACTCAGTCAGTGCAAATATCAAAAACAATTCTATGAACACACACTCTGTTTGATATTTCTGGTAGAGTAACATCGTACCTGGGCTACCATGGTTATTTAAGGTGAACTAAGAGCAAGTATCTAGTAGATACTCTAGCTTACCTAGTTGGTCCCAGTTATTGCATTGGAAGCTTACTTTTTAAAGGTTATCCTCAAAAATAGAACATCCAGAAATACATCATACAAGATGTAAACCTCATTTACAAAGGTACCTGCATGGAAATACCAAGATACCCCATGTTAACTGTTACATGGAATTCATTGCCAATTAGTTTCAAGATTTGACTAAAGGTACTCATACAATTTTTGGTATGTTAATGATCTTGAAATCATGGATGTTATACCAGTTTTTATTTGAGATGATAGTACAGAATATACATGAGATGATCTTGAAATTACAAATGTCAAATCAGATCCATTTGACATTAATGGCTCAGGCCCGTAGCCAGGATTTGCCAAGGGGGGGGGTTCAGTTTTCAAAAATTTCCAAGGGGGTTCACATTTGACAGTTTTGGCCCAAATATGGTGAAAATCACTGAAGAAGTGCTCAAAATTGAGAAAACTGCATAATTTTGAAAGAATTTCTTGCCAGGGGGGGGGGGGGGGGGTTCGCCCAAACCCTGTGAACCACCCTCTGGCTACAGGCCTGATGGCTAGTTACAATGAGGCACAGTACATTAATACAATTTTCTAGAAAAGGAAATAAAGTATTTTTGCTTAAATGTCAAAGATAAAGTCACTGAAGTAAGCATTCAATACTTAACATCTTGAAATGATGGTGAACTTTCCTTTTTCTCATTATCATGCCTGTTTATAGTATAAACTTCATTTGGTCTGACATCTTTATATCTACCACATTCATGTAGTTCATTTTAAATGCAGAACATTTCAACATTTATCACCCTCTTACTGCCATCTATATTGTATAATATGTTTGTTTTGAGCTGTCATCATTTCATTGGTTTGGTAGACATCTATTTCATGAAATAAATGTTGCACATATTCGAGGTTTGTTCTGGGTTTGGTTAAAGATTGTGACCAGTCAGTCACCCTTCCATTTGCCATCTTGGACAAGTTTTGGATCCCTTTATCAAAAACGGATCCACCACTTAGTTGCTTATTTTTCAAAAACTCCATAAATATTAAAAAGAACGAATGATTTGCAGATCCATAACTTAAAGATATTTGGATAAATTCATATCGGATTGTTTTTTTGTTTTTACAACATTTCCATTGTTTTTTCTCATCAGACAGCATGGTATCTTAAGCCTTATCTAGTCTCACGCTCACAATTTACCCTAAACCTGGCTTCAAACTGATAAAAATTAGTCTTAATTGGCCTTCCATGTAATTCAATTACGAGACATTATTCATTCTCAAGAATTCTCTGATATTTGAGGGAATGAACCTGCTGCCTGTTGAGATTTGGTGTCAAGTTGCCTTCTAACAGGGCAGACTGCTCTTATATGAAGCCAAATGATGTAAAATAAACGTTACTAAATTATGGAGTCATCAGATAAATATTTAGTACTAATTCTGTTTTCCTTAAGCAGCTGTTGGAATTAGGTTATTAAAAGTTGGCATATTACGTAAACAATTTTTAAACACTTGAATGTCAATTTTTATTCATCAATTCTCTTTCCTTGTTCATTAAAACAGTTTTTCAATAATAGTACATTTGGCTGGTGATATTTTCAGAATGATTTTTTGGTAGTTTATTATTTTTGTCAAACTTCATAATTCAGTGCCACTTTTTGTGGTATTTTAGGATACACATACCAACTATTTCGAAAGTATAAAAATTTAAAAGCCTCTTTCCCCAAAAATTCGAAAAAATGCTGAACATAAAATTAAAATACAAAATACTTTATTGTTTAGTTACAAGTACTCACCTTTTCCACATTCTTTTAACGCATATGGTAAATAGAATTTGGAAGTTACAATTAAACTTAGGTAGTAGTAAACCATCTGTGCCACATAAAAAAGGTTTAAAAAGGTGGTACCAATAAAAGGTCAAGTCTCTTGCAGCGATCTGGTTAATTTGATCTGCAAGCATTAAGACCAGTATATGTACTTTAGTTGACATCATGGGTGAACCATTGGATCTGTGAAGAATAATAAACTGCACTGGCAGATAAGGGGGGCTGGCCAAATTTTCGAAAAATGAGCCTTAAACAATATTTGTGCCTAATTTATGGCTAAAGAGGCCCAAATTGTTTTTCAGACTTTTCAGAAATTTGGGCCTCTTTGTTAGTTTCCAGAAACTTATTGTACTGAGCCCTCAAAACATTTTGAACACTTCCAACAGAGAGGTTGAGAATGAGGGTAAATATTTCGGTTATGATATTCCAAGCCTCAAGAAGAAGGAAAAACATCTTGGAAAATTCTGACTCTAATTATTTCAAAAGATATTTAGGGTCAAAGTAATTAAGTTAGGTTTCACTTTACAAGAGCAAATGGTCCATCTAATTGTACATTATATGGGGCATGAGGCTGAATAAAATACAACTTTATGACACACTGAAACTTTCCAAAGTCAGGGAGAACTTACAGATAAGGTTTATAATATTCTCAGAGATTTGTTTTATCCAAATTAGGTTCATTATGGTCAAATGGCAAATGACTATAAAATGCACAATCTTTGAATATGTAGATTTCATATTCCGAGATCATTTCAACCCAACTCATGCAACTTCAAATACAATTTTTATAAACAATCTACAGTATTAAAAAATTAAAAACAAGAATAAAACCGTGTGACACCTAAAATTAAATTTCATATTCCGAGATCATTTCAACCCAACTCATGCAACTTCAAATACAATTTTTATAAACAATCTACAGTATTAAAAAATTAAAAACAAATATTAAGAATAAAACCGTGTGACACCTAAAATTAAAAAATTATGAGAGTGAAATAGAAATAAGTTTAACAATCCAAAGGTTGATAAAAAAATAATTCATCTACCCAAAAAGAAGAAAAAAACATACAATTAAGTCATGAAAATAAAGAGAGAAAAATACAATGTAGAATTATGAATAAAAATAAAGAATATGAATACACTATTATATCCAGGAGTGAAAAGTATCCATTTCATTGTTATCAGTCTTGTACCTCTGAAGATAAGGTTCAGATTTCCCTGGAGTCTAATGAGAGATGAGATGAAATATACTAGCACATGTTATGCCTCCCTGTCAGGCTATCTCACATCAGCACCTTTCCTGCTTCCAAAATCAGAGATTCACTTGGAATCTCTCAGAGGCAGCGCATCCTGCTAACAAAACTCGGCATTTTTTCTGTAATATGTAAATAATCAAGCAAGACTACACCCCAGGACCTGAAATAAACAGGTCTGATGAATACCAGCGAGTAGTTGTAAAAGTCAGGTTTTTGGCATTGATTTCATCACACTGGGACAGATAGGGGAGTAGCACATGTGGGGAAACTGACCTGAAGGCACAGCTAGAGAAAGTATTTAGATGTATTCAAAATCAAAAGGAGCCAAAAAATCGAACCTGGATTCATATCTCTTAAATGATCTCCATGGAAACCTAAGACTCTAAAATTATCAGAGATTCTATTTTAGATGCTTTAAGATGTAACTAGCCATGTGTGCAACACACCTTGATGTCTGGAAGTAGCATACATAATCCTGACTTAACTACTTGTATTCTGGATGAAAATACAAGGAACTCCTGTACTAGCCGATCAAACACTTGTTAATTTGGCTGTCTGGACACTCTCAAATACGTTCTAATGATAGGATAACAAAAACAAAACGGCTACTGATATAACAAAGATGACATAAGCAAATGGATATACAGTGCCAAGCAATGGCTATTGGTGCCACATCAGAACAGAGGAGGTTTACAGTATATGATATAAAACATAGCCGCGTGTGTTGAACCATACTGGGGAATACGAGACACCAAAAATAATTAAAGTTTTTGTGTAACATTAACAAACCAGAGTGTCAGTGATACCAAAAGACAAAGAGAATATAAAAAGTTTAAAATCAAAAATACTTTGAGATATACTATGTGACAACAAAAGGAACACGTGGAGAAGTGGAGCTTAGTATTGGACCACAAAGATACAGTTAGTGCTACAGACAAAAGTACAACAAATAAAAAAAATTACTATGGCACTAAGAAAAGAATACTTAAAGTTAAAATTTATTGTGTGACAACAAAACACATGGATTAATAATATCAATAAATATATTTAGACATGAAATAATAATTTACAAGACATCTTCAAAATATGGAGGAACGTATGCGATACTAATAAAGATGCAATAAATCTAAACACAACAGAAACAAGAACTGTATATCATCAGGTCAATTTGTCCAGCAAGCTCCAGAACAAGGAACAGAACAGCATCACCATGGGAACTTGGTAATACATGTTTATTTGTTGATGTGATGAAATGTGTTCCCCATTAGGATATAATTATGTCAGTACTAAGCAAATGATCCAATAGTTATTGTTGGCTGGATACATATAAAGATGGCAATGCTTCTATGGTATACCCTTTATGAAAGTATGACTTGTCAACACTCTTTATATGAGAAATGGTTCTTTGATCCGGCCTTTATTTAATTAGAAATGCAGTCAGAATATCTATGTTCAGCTTATACACTGTTATATGTATGTTTTTGCCAAAGAGGGATTCACTTTTCAAAGAATTACTGGGGATCACATTTGACAACTTTGACCCCAAATCACTCAAAAGAACCCCTTGGCTATGGGCATGAACTCCCACAATTAATGCAAGGCAAGAAAGATCCATTGAAGATCACTAAGATCATACCAGCATCAAATTTTTAAAATTGTCGTAATCAGAGGATAGTGTGAAAAGCTAGTAGGGATGCAGGGTGCTCTTCATTCATACACACAGTATACATAGCTCACAAGCATTGAATGACATGTTGATAATTAACACATCATCAGCATCAACTGAAGACAGCCAAGTTAGCCCAGTGTGAAAGTCACTGAAAATCATGATGACATCTCATCAGTCTTTAGAGAACTGAAAATGAGATTTACACATTTGGGTAAAACAGTTGTTCATCCCCTGAGGAAAGAGCTTAGGTGTGAATAGGTCTGTTACCCTTTTTATTTGGTGTGAGTGTTTAATACTGTTGTCTCTAAAACAAGGCATTAACATGCAAAATGCCACCCCTGCCATTTGTTACAGACACCGAACACAAACCCCATCACAATCGCCCCAGAAAATTGGTTTTCAGTCTGGGGGTGCGATTGTGGCATAAACAAAAAAAATAAGATTTGTCTTGAATTTTACAAAAATTGATACAACTTCCTTCAAAATTGAAGCTTCAAATAAAAAGAATTTTAAAGCTCTTCTTCTATCTCATGGTTATATTTTTATTGGTCATGGAAGGGGGTACGATCGCACCAATTGCACCTGGCTTCGCCTATGTTATTTATATGCAACCTTTGTTATCAACTAGAAAGTCTTCTGTATTTTGACGATTAACTCCAACTGGATTAACTCCAACTGGCTCGGTAAATTCAGATATTAAACTAAAAGAGTGAAGACGAAGCTTTCTTTTAGAACAAATACAAAGGGAACGATAATGACTATATTAATGGTAAAGAACATCTGTGAAAATCATTTTTCAGATGACCTTCCCATCTGCTCTGGCATCAAATTTCTCAATGCATATGATCAAATATCAGAACTTGATCATATATTTACATAACTCTTGATAACTAGAATCTAAACTAAATCAGCACTAAATAAAAGTGTTATGTTTCCCTATGATATACATGCTACATATAGATATAAAAGTTATCTCACCAACTTCTGACTCATGTTTATTTATGGCAAGACAACATAAACAAGATGTTACCCTTTTCAACTTGGTTTTTCTGCTTCTTTATAAGAGTTGTTATTCTAGTGGTTATTACTGTTAGCCTCTTGGCCTCAGATAATTTTGCTTCAAGACTGCGTACCACCCCCCCCCCCCCCCCCTATGTATTTCACCTTCACCAACACAACACCTGTTGAAGTAGATAAGGGAGAGGGGGTCCAGGGTCTAAGCAAGACTAGGCCTCTGGTTAATGCATGTACTTTCTGACTATGGTCACCTTATCTTATTAATAACCCACACCACACTTTTAAAGTTTAATTTGGGTTCTTTAAAAGATTGATTAATTCTTATATAATCACAAGCCTCAGGGTAACAGGGTGAGAAAACAGAATAACAAGCTCAAAATAGTTCCACAGGATTTATCATTATTGTAGTTATCTTAGATAAATTCTGTTATTTATTACAGAGATGCAGTGTCAGACAAGGCCCATCTGTTCTGATAAAGTAACAGTTTAGTAAATCTCATGAACACCCTAGATTATAGTCTTAAATATTTTCATTATAGATATTTTCTAAATAGATACACTACATATATACTCGTAGGTAATGTAGGATTTTATCAATTAAGTTCAAATACGTCAAAACAATGTTTATTAAAGCAATCACCAGTTGGGAAATTTTCAACCTTTAAATTGCCACTAATGTTTTACCATCCACCTCATATGATATGATCAACAATACACACCCACACAGCTATCCGGCAGTAATAACAATATAGCATCAAAAAGTGCAATACAAATAATAAGGTGCAATGAAAATATGAGTGAGTGAGAATTTTAAAAAATATTTATAAGGCACAAATACTTGTTTTTATTTGAGATTTATTTTCTGTAAAATATCATCAAATGAACCACTGTTTATACTTTTGATTTAGTCATTGCATTAATAGATGGAACCACCAAGTACAATTTCTCCGACTCCTCACCGCAACACATAAACCATAATCCTACCCCATAATTCTTGACATTAGACAGCTATAGCCAGCTGACAATGGCCTTCAGTGCATCAGTCAATAAGCATTAAGTGATTAACCTAATTAATGAAGTGATTAAGGTGATAAATCAGCTAAAGGAAACAGCTGTAAATTGCTCTTACCTGATATCATATGAGGGATGAAAGGTTGCAGATATTTTGGCCTTCAATTCTGTCATAATCACTTGCGTTATCATGGTTTCCATGCCAACCGGTTTCCATGCCAACCGGTTTTCATTCCTTCATGTTATCAACAAGTGGTAACCTGGATATAAAACCATAAACTATGTAAATTCATATATAATTATTTGGAGAATGATGTTGCAAATACAGGAAAGGAACTGCTTTTAATTATTGCAATAAACTGAATTTCTTAACATCTACAATCAAAATAAAATGAGACAAATATGTAGATACTCTTTTTATGCTTTGAAGTAATTTCTTCCCTGGGATCGCATATATTTCTGCAACTAAACTAACATCCTTATTACGCTTCTACAATGGGCCTGTATATTACCCCTGTAAAATGGCCCAGTATATTGCCCTGTATTAAATGGCCCTGCATATTGCCCTGCATAATGGCACCTGTAAACTTGTTAACTGCCTTATAAGATAGCCTATATTTGTACTTCCAGCACCAGTAGAGAGGATGACCAGAAGCTGGTGTCCCCCAGGAGTCGTGCAGGGGAAGAAGACTCCAACTCTTTCGTCTTTACAGTCCCTGATGATGAACCTACCCAGAAACATGCATATCATGGGCCAGGACGTCCACTCTCATTCGAAGAGACTGACACAATACCTGTGAGAGGTCAGCACAGTACGGTGAATGCCCCAGCAACAACTGCTGCAAATAAACCAATACAAGATACACCAAATGCACATCCACATAGACTGCCATCTTATCCATCTTCAGGATCAGTCTCATCCAGTTCATACCAGTCAATGTCAGATCAGTCCAGTTTCAACCAAACACCACCCCCTTATCAGAGAACTGGTCAAACAAAGCATAAACCACCTCCAATACAAGTTCCTGTAGAAGAGCCCCAAGTATCATATAAGGATGTCAAAGCTCAACTGTCACCTGTGAGAAAAAATCAGATTTCTCCATCAAAAATAGGGGCCAATCAAAGATTTTCCCCAAAGTCAACAAGGAAGACTAACACTGCTATACCCGAAGACCTTGCTAAGATTAATGCCTTAAGAAAAGCCTTTGCTCCCTCTCCAGATGGTAAACAAGCAACTGGAGATGCCTCTGGGGCTCTCAGAGTATTGAAAGGGAGGGTTCAATCCCACCTCAGCCCTTCATCATCTCGATCAGAGAGCTTGTCCCCTTCCCCAATAGTTCAACCAGCAATACAAGATCCACCAAGTGCAATACATAAAGGTGCTTCATTGGACAACATTGTTAAACCAATACCTAAATCAGGATTAACTACTGAGGCTACAAGTGGTTCTGCCCAAAGTATATCATCTATATCACCAACAAGTACAATAGGCTCAACATCTGAGAAGTCCTCTGAAACAAAATCTGCATCACAGTTGAGAAAGGAACGGTTGAAAAAAGAACAAGAAAAATTACAGCAAAGACAACTGCAGAAAAAGAAGGAACAGGAAGAAGATCTAAGGAGGAAACAGCAAATTCGCGAGCAGCAAGAAGCACTTGAGAAACAACGAATCATAGATGAAGAAAAGAGGTTTGAGGAAGAACAGAAAATAATTCAGGAAGAAATCAAAAGAATTGAGGAAGAGGAAAGACAACAGCAAATAGAAGAGAAACATAGAAAGGAAAAGGAAGAAATTCAAAAGAGAAAACAAGTGGAAGAGAAAATAAAAAGGGAACAAGAGGAGAGAGAGAAAAAGCAAAGAGAGGAGAAAATAAAACGAGAAAAAGAGGAGAGAGAAAGAAAACTAAGAGAGGAAAAAATAAAACGAGAACAAGAGGAGAGGGAAAGAAAACAAAGGGAGGAGAAAATAAAACAAGAACAAGAGGAGAGAGCAAGAAAACAAAGGGAGGAAAAAAGAAAACAAGAAGAGAGAGAAAGACTTCAGAAACAAGAAGAAGCAAGACAAAAGAAACTTGAGGAAGACAGAAAGTTGGAGGCAATAAGACAAGAAAAACAAAGACAAATAGAAACCAGGAAGAAAGCAGAAGAGCTTAGAAGGCAAAGACAGCTTGAACAACAAAAAAGATTGGAAGAGGCTAAACGGAAGAAAGATGAAGATGAAAAGAAGAGGCAAGAGACACTCAGGAAGCAAAAAGAATTAGAGCAGAAAAAATTAGAACAAGAGAAAAAGATTGCTGAAGCTAAGAGAAAAGAAGAACTGAAAAGACAAAAACAATTGGAGGAGCAGAGAAGACAAGATGAACTCAGAAGGCAAAAGCTTTTAGAAGAACAAAAGAGAAGAGATGAGATCAAAAGGCAGAAGGATCTACAAGAACAAAAACGCCAAGAAGAAATAAAGAAACAAAGGGAACTTGAGGAGCATAAACGCCAAGAGGAAATAAAACGCAAGAAAGAGATAGAAGAGAAGAAGCGTAAGGAATTAGAGGAGAAGAAAAGACAAGAAGAAAAGAAGTGCTTAGAAGAGCAAATAAGAAAACAAAAGGTGGAAGAAGAGAAAAAACAAAAAGCTCGAGATCAACAAAAACAGTTGGAAAATGAGAGAATAAAAAAGGCTATGGAAGAGCAACGTCGCAAAGAAGAAATTGAGCAGATTAAAAAGAGGAAACAGGAAGAAGAAGAACAAAAGAGAAAAGAACAGGAAGAACAACGTAAAAGGCAAATCCTGGAAGAACAAAAGATAAGGGAATTAGAAGAACAAAGAAGACAGCAACTTCTTGAAGAACAAAAGAAAAGAAAGGAACAAGAACAACAAAAAAGACTGCAGTTAGAAAAACAAAGACAGGAAGAACAGATGAAACTCTTAGAGCAAAGACGAAAAGAACAAGAAATACTTAAACAACAAGAGCTCCAGAAGGCAAAAGAATTAAGGGAACAGAGACATAAAGAGGACCAAGAAAAAGTGCGGCAGTTAAAGCAACTTCAGCAGCAAAAATTAAAACAGAAAACCATCTCCCAACAAGAGTCCCTACCCACCTCTCCTCTCTCTCCGAGTAGTAAGTCTCAAGATAATGACTTGTCCAAACAGTCCTTAGATAGTTTGGCAGGAACTCAACAATCAGCAGTTCATGAGGTTGAGACTATTAAAGCAAACACAGCCATGCAAGTAGATAACACTTCTATGAATCAACACCAATCAAAAGATAACAAAAAAGCAATTACATCGCCAGCTCCGGGTAAGAAATCTGTAACCCAATCCCAGACCAAGCTTCAGACGCAAGTATCAGCCTCTGACTCGGACTTTGATAGACCTTTACTGCCATTAGTACCACGTCCCCGAATAGACGAGGACTCTGATAGCACTGATAGTAGCAGTATCAGCTACGCAAGCTCTACAGCCAGCTCTAGATCAAACAGACGTAAATATAGGACTCGTCACCAAGATGCAGCCACTAGGCAACAATTGGGCAAAGATATCCATATAAAGGAAGACCAGATCAGTCCAAGGCCACATAGGAGAAAAAAGAAAGACAAGAGTTCAAAACGGAAGTCCCCAATCAACAGATTAGATTCTCCCAGTGCTGGCCCAGGTGAGTTTTTAAACAAGCAATTATTGCACCCTCACTGCACATTAATAGTACATGTATGTTTTGCATTAATTTCATGTAATTAATCTTGAACAGCATCACTGCATTCATTTTCATCTTCCCTGTCATCATATATTCATTTCATGTCATCATCTTTGTCTCTTATAATGAAATTGGCGTGACATTGGTACTTGATTCAAAGCAAGGTTAAATCGCTTCGTTAGGAAGCATTCTGACAAAAAGCTTCTTAATGAAAGATTTTGTGCCTATAAATGCAACCCCTCAGACATCTTTTGATGGGACGATTTTTTGTCAAAACAATTAAACCTGATGTGTAACTCTAACCATTGATTGATTGATATTGGTAGATTGTCATTTGGTTCCGACGGAGTTATCTTTGTGAGTTGTTATTAAACGAAGTCAATTATTTCATCAGCAGAAGGAAAAGTCATGATAAAATGCATCAACATATCATTTATCTATTTATGCCTTTAAACACCTCTTGTTAAAAGATTACCAGATTACTGACATGTACGTAGCAGGTGATTGGCCTGGGAATATTATATTAGATATAAACAATACTTCACTGTCAGTCTTTACAATGTCATGTTGACATATCTTATTGAATGATGCCATATGTTCAAACCTGATGTCATACAACAGTAAAACCTGTTTTAATGAACACCTGTCTCTAATGAACACCTGTCTCTAGTGAACACATGTCTCTTTTTAGACCACACATACTCTACTGATTTCTGTATATACACTCTCTGTAGTTACCAGCTAACAACAATGAACGTTTTTTTCTTGGCAAAAAAAATGTTCAATATACACAGGTTTTACTGTATGTGGACTGTGTGTACGGTGTGTGGAAGGGGGTACAATAAGTGTAACATGATAACATAAAGTCTGGATGTACTACCAAATGAACTTTAACTCTAACTGAGAAAAATTGAAAAACACGTAATCAATCAGGAATTTTTCAGTTGGATAAAGGGGTCTGATAACAAATTTAAAAAAGTCAGTTATATTTTGACTGTTAGCACTTTGAACTGTCATGATATCAAGGGATAGTGTTGGTGTGTTAAAAAGTGCATGTACATAATACTTCAGGTCAAGCTGAATTAAATGCATTTTTCAAAAACTTATTTTATACGTAGAAGGATATTTAGTTTAAGTTTTATTGGATTAGTGTAAGTTTATTCTTTTAAAAAAGTCAACAAACGCATGTTTGTCTGTATGAGGATTGATTTAGTTATCAACATATTGTAAACAAGTTAGTTTATGTTAGGAGAAAGTTTAAACAAATACGGTTATGTTTGATGAATGGTCTAGGATCACAAAGCATGTCAGTGTAAGATGAGGTCAGAGTATCAGGGTTACTCTTGTCCAGTATACCCATGATTAACCTATGATCATAACCGCTAAAGATAATAGTGCTGGAATAAGCGAAACCAGACCAAAGGCTGGAGGTTCAAGCAGTAGGTTAATACAGAGCAGACTGGTACTTGTTGGAAACGTGGCAAACGCAGCAAACGAGGACTGTAATCAGTATATCTCTGATGGGAAGAAAGTAGAAAACTTGAAAACATAACTGATGGTGCTGGCCAAGATTCGTGTAATGTGATATAACTACTTTAAAATAGATATGAACTTTAGAAACGGTGTTTATTTGGATGGATCTAACTAACTAGGAATGTAACCAGGTGAAAATCATCAAGATGTACCAAGCTCAGATATACGTAGTACTTTACGCGATACAATGGGGGGTACTGAGCTCAATTGTTATCATTGTATTGGTTGATATATTCAAACGATGGCGAAACAGAAGGAGACAGAGAACCAGAGAGAGAGTGGCACAAGACAACAAAGCTAAAACAGGTATGTCCTTGTAAACAAACACACCTCAGTTGACTAAAAACACATATTTCAGACTCAAGGCAGGCTAAAGTTCACATGAGATAAATTGTAAATTGACATTTTGGCATTAGATTCATTAAGTTAAGTTAAGCTAAACCAGTTCAGAAACAGGTTTAGCCTAGATAGATAAGCTTATTTTATGATGGCATTTACTGCTGTTCAGATTTGTGAATGTCCTATAAAACACATCATAATGACAATAAAATGTTGCAGGCACAATTTTTTCGAAGTTCAACACGCAATCATAGTTATTTACCAGATGCTTTAGGCAGGTTGTTACGCTTAAACTTGAGCATTTTCACTAGCTTAAAATACCAATTATAAGTGTTCAATTACCAATGTTTGCAAACTTAGAAAACTTAAAGTAAAAATTAGGAACAGGAAATTTTAAGGAAATTCCTGATATGTCATGTGTCTATTGTTTGAAGTATTTGGTTGTGCCAGAATCTTATAATGCAAACATTTGGTATGTTGCTATTTTATAACTGCTTTTGTGGTATATGTAGATCAATGGCAGCAAAACCACAACATCTAGAGACTCAAGATGTAAAAATTAACAAGAGTTTCAATAAAGTGTATTTCAAATTTTCAAAACCTTATACAAAGTATTCGCGACACAACCGCTAAGGCTCTTGAGGTCTTTTATCAGTATTTTTTCTATTTTTAATTGTGTTATGCTTTTGCATTTTTTGTTGATGACTAATATAAGTGTGGTAAAATCAAATAACTGCAATTCTCACAGGAGGGTGCTATTTGATCCGTACCTGTGAAGATAACCTGAATGGATTAGATCTGTAGTATTTGATTGTTAGGTAGTAATTGATTGTTCTGTAGTATTTGATTGTTCTGTAGTATTTGATTGTTCTGTAGTATTTGATTGTTCTGTAGTAATTGATTGTTCTGTTGCATTTGATTGCTGTAGTATTTGATCATTTTCTAGACTAAACTGTGCTTTCCTGAAATCTGTTATCTATCAGCAACAAGTCTTTTCACAAATTTAATAGCTCCTAACCTTGTTAATGTATAATAAGGGAGGGGGGTCACACAATAATTTTTTAGATTGTGATCGCTCTGGTTTGGTAGCCCAAGTGGATTGTGCTATATAAAATTTTTGATTGTGCCACACAATTCTCCAAAGATCAGAACATTAATTATTTTTCACTTCTACCTTTTTCATTTTTAATCATTGACTGAATAGAAATAAAAGCATTGTACTCTAAAAACCTAAGTCATAGGGCAGGCCTGTCAGATTTGGGGCTTGGTGGGGGGGGGGGGTTGCACCCCATCAAAACTTTCAGAAAAATCCCAAGGGAAATAACATCTTATTACAGCAATCCATTCTTTAATTTTCATTTAGATTACAATGATTTCCGTAATCTACGTTGTGCTAATTCCTGGAATGGAGTCATTATGCAGTAAATTAAAGGTAGACTAAGCAATCATAATAGACCTGAAATTAGCGTATCTCTGACCTTATGCAACTAGTCAACTGCATCTGGTAAAAAATTGTGAAACCGCTCTCCTTTTACAGATGGGGCTGTGTGGAGGGGTATCAAGAAATGTGTCTAAGAGATTCGAATAGGCACGGATTTGTTGAGAAATTGTTTGTTCGATCAGAATAAACATATAAGAAGCACACATACACTTATGCATCATGCCCGTAGCCAGAGGGGGAGCTAGGGGAGCGGACCAGAAATTCTTTCAAAATCATGCAGTTTTTCACCATTCTGAGAATTTTTCGCATGATTTTTAGCCAAAATTGGGAAAAAGCTCCCCCCTGGAAAAAAGCTCCCCCTCCTGGTAAAAGCTGGATACGGGCACGTGCATATAATCAGCTTATAGTAGAACTTCCCTCTATCCCTCTATCCGTGACACATGCCTCAAAATGAAATACATCACCACTTCACCCCCTCCCTCTAGGCCTACCAATTAGTAAGAAAAAACATGAGGAAATAAACTTTTAAATTTCATGCCATTTCCTGATTTATGTGAATCGGATGCTACTTAGCTTTATGTATTGTCGATGTAAAGTTTAAATAGAAACAACTTCCTGCTCTTAAAATAATTAGAACGATACGCAAAATAACAGAAAAAGAGAAAGTTGTCATCTCACCTGAAAATGTCATGATGACTTTTTCAAAACGAGGTTAAAGGTCAAGTAAACAAAAATGGCTACCTGACCATGTTGACAGATTGAAAATTGAGAAATATTCCATTTATACCGCACAAACGCGAAAAGGTATGTGATTAAATTTTGTACATTATACAAATTAAGTTGTCAAGATGTATTAAATACATACACCAATAATAGATAGCGCATGATTCGTTGATAGTTGGAATTTGAAAGTATTATTAATTGATTTTATTTTTGTGTTAAAAATCACTTTCAGTTTCACTTTCACTGTTTCAACTTCACTTAGTCAAACATTGATGTAACAATTAGAAATAATTTCACTAATCATTCACTAAGAATTTATAATAGGTACTGTAAAAAGAAGGAGTTTCATTCCTGATCATCTATAATTAGATCAACATCTATAACATTCCTAATCTACTATTCAAATAAAGAAATGTAAAATTACAAGATAACGCCAGTTTGTAGAGCTAGTAGGGCTACATGAACTGAATCTGAGGAGGCCTGTGTCATTGTGACTCATCTTGACTTAGACACAACACACCCGAGATGTTGTTTCATTTTTTTATCTGAGTATTTTTGCATTTTCACTACCCCCTCAAAAATTGAAGATGTGCATCAGTTTGCAACGTTATTTCAGTGGTGAATAAATATGCAATGATCTCATGTGTCTCGAACTCAAGGTTACATCGACAGGGTCTAGCTTAGCCTGCCCAGCTTATAGTGAAAAAGGCATATTTTTGGAGTATTCTACTTATCAATAGGTCTGTGGAATGCTTAGGGTTCAATTCCTATTTTTTTGTTTAATTTGCATACAAGTTAATATTCCCAAGTAGATAAGTACTGTTGAGTGAGTCTGATAAGTACCAATTTGGGTTCTGTTCTAGTACCACCTCCCTTATCCATCATTTAATCTTAACTACATGATATTATACATTCATTAATCTTG